ATATACGTACATACATATGCACAGGGGGAATAATTATGTGACGATCACTTCTCACAATCATAGTGGGTCTCCTCCTAGCCATACATATATGTGCGGCCGCAGGGCAGTTCAACCAACACCCGAAGTCACTGAACATACCTGCAATCACATCAAAAGTCAAACAAGGGCCCACACACTGCACGGAGTAAACTCCAACCAGTTCCTATTCTCATACCCCTCGCTTTAGCCATGCAAGCCCCAACCTCCAGCCAACCAACCTTAATTAAAGACTCAGTACCTTTGTTAAATGGCCACTCAATAAAAGTCCGGGTGAAACCTTAACGAAACAGAAAATCACCAGGGCTAAAGCCTAAGGTTGAGTATTGGGAGTGAGTTGAGGTTGAGCCGAAGACCGACAAATCGACAATCGACTTGTTATCTACGATAACAGATGATGACCCTTACATGATCAAGCTGAACTAGTCCAAGTCCTGAATCAGATCGTTCACAGTGGCCTGTAACACAAGACAAGTCAATGCCCAAGACTGAACCTGTAAGCCCTATGCAAACTATCTTCTATATGGTGGTCCCATCTGACCTCCTGGTAGCCAACTAGGTCTGAGCCTAGTCCTAAGTCAGGGCTCAAAGAAAAGGTAGACCTTTGGCTAGGTTTCCCCTATACAGAGTGGACGGCCAATTCTCCCACGTATCATAATGTAATCTAACTCCATTAAACTAAGGAAATTTCAGCAACGCTTCCCGTAAGAAAACTGTCTTTCCACAATTTATATAAGCCAGAATATAAAAATAGGAATAGTCTTCTGACTTTTTAAAGTCCAATTTTGTGTAACTCCCTGAACTAGCAAAAATTTGGGCAGCACTCCCTTCAGAAAGGGAGACAAGTTTGGCTTTTCTACTAGGCCATATATGTAATTTAGACAAGTTGAACTTTGAAAATCCAAAATTTGACTAAGTCCTTGGATTTGCAGAAATTTCGGCAGCGCTTCCCATAGGAAAAGTGGCTTACCAAGATTTATACAACCCCAAGTATGAGAAAAGACCTCAGATAAATGCAAAAATCGAACTAAGTAAAAAAACTATCTAAAAAAATGCAGAAATTGAATCTAACTCCTATAGCTCTAGCACGTGGCGAGCCACTACAGCAACTATCTATCAACTCAGCTCAGACTAGGTAGTGACACCACTCAGCCACATGCAAGCCAAACCACAAAGGTAAGTATTCTCACCATCCCCAAGTAGGTTCCACAGACGTTAGTTCATAATCTTTCAATTATTTAACCCTTTACACCCTGCTTACATAGGGCATTAGGACTGGCCATTCATCTTAGAAACAATGTCAGCCCTCTGCCTTAGTTAATACACGAATAGGTTGCACAACTACTTTTCTCTTCATTGGGCATGTGACTAAGCCATTCATCTTATAAACCATGCTTAGTCGCATTGAGCTGTTTAAATAGCCAAATTATATATACCTTTCTGCACCTTAGTCTTCAGAAAGAGGGCGTAGGGTTGAGCCATTCATCTTAGAAACAATGCTCAGCCTGCCCAGGTTACCTTCAGTTATAGTTCTCGATTATACTCTCTTTGCTTGTGATAAGGCTATAATCAGGTCATTCATCTTAGAAACAATGCCTGACTAGCCTTCCTTGTATATAAGTACATATATATACCACATTATAAAGAATCCTATTCCTCTGTTCTCATTATGGTCCTGAGGCCTCAGACTTAGACCATTCATCTTAGAAACAATGTCTAGTCCTTCGGCCTGAATCCTCCCTCAAAATAAAACAATCAAGGAGAGATGAGCCATTCATCTTAGAAACAATGCTCAGCTCCCCTTTTTTCAGCACACAAAAAGGCAGAGTACCCTGGGTCTGACCCAAAGACTTCAGAAACCACCCAAGTAAACAGCGGCCAGACCATTCATCTTAGAAACAATGTCTGGCCCTCGAAAGTCAAGCAATCAAAACCCCTCAGAAATAAGTAGTCAGGCCATTCATCTTAGAAACAATGCCTGGCACAATTAAAGAAACACAGCAACCAAGCCATTCATCTTAGAAACAATGCTTGGTTCCTCAGAAAATAGAACAAAACACAGCAGTCGGGCCATTCATCTTAGAAACAATGCCTGACGCTATAAGACCCATTCAAGTGCAAGCAAATCCCAGCCTTCCCCCAGATGCACCCCTTCGTGACAATCGAATTTCAGACAAACAAGAAACTGAAACTGCCATTATACAAGCATTCCTTTAGTTAGTCTGATTTGTGTCCTGAAAGTCAACTCAAAGCCAAAGTAGGGGTGACACTCAGCGTAACCAACCAATACGTGGGGAGGTGTGTAGATGGGGGTTATACTAGATTTATAAGGGAAAGCAATGGTCACCTCTGAGTTCCCTGCCTCCAAAACTCCTCCTGAGTTCCGGCAAGGCTCCCGATATCGGTGGGGCAACCTCCCACAAAGGCTTTGGCGCGGATTACGGGTTGCAATCCCGCCTGCCGCCTTCCTCTCCAGCCCAATGGACTAGACTGAGAGTGAGAAGGGCAGAAAGAGAAGCATTAAGTCTCTCAAATACAAAAGGGGTGCACTCAGACTCGCATGAGAGGGCCTTGATGTCTTTTGCGCCTGAGGGCC